TTGGTAGTGGTTGTGTTGATTGTGGTCGTGGTTGTTTGTGGTTGTGTTTATAATGGTTGGGTTGGTAGTGGTTGTGTTGATTGTGGTCGTGGTTGTTTGTTGTTGTGGTTGTTTGTGGTTGTGTGGACCCCCTAATGGAGCATCTTCGCCGGTTAGAAACATTTAGGCTGGCCTGCCTACGATCCATCCTAGGTTTAACCAGGCTTGATTGTGTGAGGAGCTCAGAAATCCTTGAAAGATCTTTCAAAGTCCCATTGGTGAGCTCCTCCGGCAGGCAAGGCTGCGTTGGCTGGGTCATGTAGCCCGCATGCCCAGCCACCGCATGCCTAAACAGCTATTGTTCGGCCGGATCGAGGGGGCTAAACGGGCGCGGCACGGGCTAGAGAAGAGATGGAGTGATGTGGTACAGGAGGATATGGAGCTGAGTGGACTTGCCGATGACTGTTACCAGCGGTGTCAAGATCGGCCTCTGTGGAGGAGGCTCGTGAATGACGCTACTGGGCAGTTGGAGGCTGTCGCCCTCCAACAACAACGGAGGGCGGAGGAGCGACGCTCACAACAACGAGCGGAGCGCCGGGTGGCTAAAGCACAGCAAGTTGGCACGGTAGGGGGCACAGGTGGTGCATCAGCCAGTTATCTCGGTCATCTCAGTCAGTCGACCCGAGGCACCTGGGTCTGCCCCGTGACCTCCTGCCAGCGGGCGGTCGACACTTCACGTGGCCTCAAGGTGTACATGGCCTGGCACAAGCGTCGTGGTGACGTCACCGCCACTTAGTGGCGAATGGCGGTTGTTGTTGTGGTTGTGTTGACAGTGGTTTAGTTGGTTGTGGTTGGTCGTGGTTGTTGGGACGATGAGCAATGGTATCCGAACCTGGTGTGGACTTCCCCTAGGTCTACTCGGCCTGAATTGCGGTTATAATACCAACATTAGCTTGTAGAGAAAAGACATGATGCCTGTGGTTTAAAGGGGGGGTTATGGAGAGCAAACTCATGGGGAAGATGATTTCTGTACCCGATCAGGGCGTTTGGAGAGATGACAATTCACCCCAAATAGTCACCCCGCTCCGTGAGGGTTTCGCTGTTGTGCAGCTCCCCGATGGGTTTCAAGGGCTGTGCGGCGTATCGTTCGGCACGATGTCCGGCGTTTCGCTCCACATCCAGGGAGCGTTTGGCATTGGCTCCTTTCTGTTCTCTGTGGGGCGCCTCGCGCTCGTCCCGTGGCCCACGCTGCTGCTGCTGCTGCTTCCTATTTCTCGGCGTGAGCCCAAAGCGTGCGCCCTCTCCACTCTGCACGCTTTTTCAGACATCATTCCACTCTCTTTGCCAACGTCCACGTTTCTGATCCGTGTCACATCGCAGTCAGAGGGCGCCCATTCAAAACCGAGCGTCGATCTTCACGCACCATCGCGTCTCGGTTCCACACAGAGCACTCTGCCTCTGCTCTCGTTCATCTGCTTATTCATTAAATTGCATTCGGCGCAGTCGTTTAAGACCGTGCAACACCTCGTGTGCCAGTGCGCAACATTCCCGAAGGACCCTGTACGAGTTCTCTGCAACGTTTGCGTTGTTGCTGCTCTGCTCAAGCAGCAACGCGGATCTCTCTCGTGGAGAATATCCGGAAAACTGGCTAAACCAGATCATCCGTGTAACACATGGAACAAACTCAACACTCAGTGATTAAATAATGATGAGGACATCGGTCTCCGCGCCATTCCCCCAGCGCCAGGGCCCCCGTGAAGGGAGGCGCCGGGGACAGCGACTGCCGCTCTGCCCACTGCAGGCGACGGGCGACTTGACCAGAGCGCGGCAGTGAGCACGTGCACGTGGGGCGGTGGTCTCGAGAAGTCGCCCGCGCGCGACGAGACCCCTCCTCCTACCACCTCCTCCTACCACCTCCTCCTCCTACCACCTCCTCCTCCTACCACCTCCTCCTACCACCTCCTCCTCCTACCACCTCCTCCTCCTACCACTTCCTCCTACCACCCCACCTCCTCCTACCACCCCACCTCCCACCTCCCTCCTCTTCCTCCTCCCACCTCCCTCCTCCTACCACCTCCTCCTCATTCTCTTCATCCTGCGGCACGAGCCACGGATTCTCATTGAGTCGTGACCCCTGCTGATGCCGGCCTCTTACACCCCAACACTGTTCCCTGACAGTGCCTCCCCCACGTGGCTCCACGTGACACGAATCCAGCACTGGACACTGCATGCTGGGTCTGGGCTATAGAGTTGGTATTGGGTTCTAGGACTGGGCTATACTTATTTCAGTCGTACATCGCATCATTCGTGCTAATTGCATCTCACAACGCTGTGCAATAATGATTTGCATAATCACGTTGAGGTGACGAGTTCTGTGTCTGAACGATATCGTGGGTGATGAGTTCTAGGTGTGTGGGCATCCCCACTTGCTCTTAGCCAACGGCCCCCTGCACACACGCAGCGCAGAGACAGACGGCGGCCAGCGGCCACGCTCGCGTCGTGCGTGGGGGTCTGTGTGACGCCACTGCAGGGTGAAGGCGATCCCATGCAGTGTCAGCAATGGAGGTTGTTTGAGCATATTTCACCACGCTGGTCAGCGCGGGTTGGTGAAGTCTGGGAGCACAGAAGTACAGGACAACAATCGCTCATCAAGCCCTGCCGCGCGGGTTTGTCGGGCGGGCTGGTGGCAGCGTGCAGCGCAGCGTGGGGGGGGGGGGCGATGGAGGGGGGCCACGGTGCAGGAGCGAGGTCACCGTTGTGATCGCCGCGAGGAGAGGAGAGACGCCGCGCTCCCTCGCCCACACAGTCCCTCGCCTACTCACTCATTCACTCTCCTGCTCGCTCGCTCACTCTCGCTCAACCAACCAACCATTCACTCACTGACGCAGCCAACTTACTCGTCCACCCACCAACCCATTCGCTCACCCACACACTCAACCACCCACGCATTCACTCATTAGAATAACAGCAATAATATCAATCCAGCAACTACACAACTGGTGTCATGAGAGTTTATGATTACGGTCCACAGTGTTTTTGTCTGTGCGCATATGTATAAACATGGAAACGTATGCACCATTTGCACGTGATTGATGATGGCACCATTTTATCAGCCCTTCATCTCGAAAAGCACGATTTGTTCCCAATTAACGTGCATCTGAATGTTTTAAAATTAATTCTGAGATTCCCTAACGTCCACCTCGTGGCCGTGTCGAAGTGCCCTGCTGCTGCTGGCTGCTGCACAGGCAGCGGGCAGGAGAGCGGCGTTATAACCCCCCCCCACTGTCTAAAGTGCCGTGCCGGGAGATCGTTATAACCCACCCCACTGTCTAAAGTGCCGTGCCCGGAGATCGTTATAACCCACCCCACTGTCTAAAGTGCCGTGCCCGGAGATCGTTATAACCCACCCCACTGTCTAAAGTGCCGTGCCCGGAGATCGTTATAACCCGCCCCACTGTCTAAAGTGCCGTGCCCGGAGATCGTTATAACCCGCCCCACTGTCTAAAGTGCCGTGCCCGGAGATCGTTATAACCCACCCCACTGTCTAAAGTGCCGTGCCGGGAGATCGTTATAACCCGCCCCACTGTCTAAAGCGCCGTGCCCGGAGATCGTTATAACCCACCCCACTGTCTAAAGTGCCGTGCCCAGAGATCGTTATAACCCACCCCACTGTCTAAAGTGCCGTGCCGGGAGATTGTTATAACCCCGCCCCACTGTCTAAAGTGCCATGCCGGGAGATCGTTATACTCCGCCGCACTGTCTAAAGTGCCGTGCCGGGAGATCGCTCCAACCCGTCGACCTCTGGACTGCAGTCCGGCGCGCTGCTTATCGCCACACCACGGCAGCTTGCTTCATTTCAAATCTAGCTCCAAGTTCTTTATTTATAAATGTTATCAGATTCTAAATGTAAATGAAACAATTCTCATTTTCATTTTGTTCAGTCGATGCTGCTTTATGTAATGTTGCCACTTTTTGAAGAAGAAGCCGTCACAAGCGAGATGCTTAAAATGAGACAAAAATCCGATTCTTAAATGTGATTGTGACGACCCATCGCGAGTCCAGCGTTCCACTGCACCCTGGCACGCCGCGTGGCGTGATGCCGTGCTGTGCGGCGCTGGAGGTTTCGTTCCTCTCTCTAAGTTGCTCTGCCTGTTGATGGCCACTGCATTCTGCTTCTGGAGGCTGGCGGTCCCAGAACTCTCCACTTCGATTTCGTCCGCGTGCGCAGCAGTTGACACACCGGCGCCTCTGTCCACACGGCAGTTCGTGCATCCTCCTCCAAGGCGTCTGGCCAGCGTGACAAAAAAGGCCAAAATATCCGTACTGGGGTTTGTAGTGAAAACGCATGCGGTGGTGGTGATGGTGGTGGTGGTCGTGGTGGCGGTGATGGTGGCGGTGGTGACACTGATGGTGGCGGCAGTGTCGTCTCACACCGTGCCAGGGGTCGCGCTCTCCGACGCGCGAAGCCTCTGCCGACGAGCGTCTCACGGGCGATGTCGCGCGTTCGCAGCGAGTTCCCTTTGAGTTGACTCGCGACTCGATCGCACGACGTGCGTGTACATCTCCACGCTCATTGGTTTCAGTCACGGCCGCTGGGTTTCTGTGGTCGTTCATTATCTGAAACGAGCCACGCCGCCTCTTCGTCTGCACGGGAACATCCCGCCGCTTCTCGCCGCCTTCAGCCGGGAGAGTACCGCGCGGTGGGGCCGAATGCGCTCCGCAGCCGCGCTTTGTGGTCGTGCTGCTGCTGCTGCTATACGGCCCTCCGCCGTGTCCGTGGCTTGCACCGCGCGTTGCTCGGCACGATGTTCGGCGGTTCACTCCAGGTGCCGGTAGCTTCTTCCCGAGTTGATTTCCAGGAAATGAATCCACGAACAAGCTCCCATCAGCGCGCGTAACGAAACGTCGGACGTCGTGCAGGACAACATGCATAGCTACCCGCGCTAACTGAGCCCGAGCCCCCCTCCCCCAGTCTCACTCTCGCCCTTTGCCCCCCACCCCTTGTTCTTCTCGAATGCCAGCGAGCGCCCCCGGGCCAGCTGTCCGATGAGGGTGGCGCCGTGGCGGCCGTGCCGGGGCTGCTCGTGCCGACGGTGGCGGGCGCCGTGTGCCTGGGCGGCGTGCTGCTGGGCTCGCTGCTCGCCTACTGCCTCCTGCGCGCCCGCCGCGCCACCAAGAGCGGCCACCGCTATGCCAGCCTGGCCGCCGCCGCCGCCCACAGCAGCCCCGACCCCACCTCCGACTACCAGGTGACATTGGCGGTTCGAGACCCGGTGGCCGCCCTGGCTAATCGCGCGGGGGGGGGGGGGGTCTCAACAGTAAATAAAAAAGACTACGCGCCATTCACGTCGCCGTTCGTCAGAGTCGGCCGTCACACGTCCCGGCAAGAGTGGCAGTAAAATTGATCTCAACAGTTGTCCGTGGAAGTGAAATCTTCCTATCGCCTGCACCCAGAGCCGTGGGTTCCAACAGAGTCTTGGGTTCCAACAGAGTCTTGGGTTCCAACAGCGTCGTGGGTTCCAACAGAGTCGTGGCTCCATCCACGCGGCCGAGACGGAGCTGACAGCTGACAGCTCCGTCTCAGCCTCCCGCCGGCAATTATCACGTCGCGATTGCTCGAGCAAGCCTCGGGTGCTGCCACCTCCACCACCACCTTCACCACCACCTTCACCACCACTACGACCAACACCTTCACCACCATCACCACCTCCGCGACCACCTTCACCACCATCACCACCACCACCTCCACCACCACCACTTTCACCACCACCACCACCTTCACCACGACCACCACCTTCACCACCATCACCACCTCTGCCACCACCACCTTCACCACCACCATCACCACTACGACCACCACCTTCACCACGACCACCACCTTCACCACCATCACCACCTCCGCGACCCCGCGTGTTACCAATCGGTTACGACGATAGATTTAATTTCGTGCAGAGTTGAGGTTGAAGTGATCTCCCCGATGCCACGCTGCCCCCTCCCTCTAATAATCATGAGCCTGTGGCACTGTTCACAAGAGGAGGCTGACGGCTGCTGATGCCATGACCCAGAGGTCGGTTGCAATAACGAACTAAATATTTTTTCCCCTTAACTCAATAAAACAATAGACTTAACAACTCTAAAAGACAACCCTCTGACTACAACCCTAACCAACTTGGCACAACCCCAGCCTCCAAACACAACCCGATCCCTGCAGCCACAGCCCTTCCCCTTTACACTCCCAACGCGACTCCACCCCCCGCCGCTCCGTGACGCTGACCGCCAACCCCGCCGCCTCTCCCCCAGGAGCTGTGCCGGCAGCGCATGGCGATCCGCACGGCCGAGAAGGGCGGGGGCTGCGGGGAGCCCCCCCCCGCGGGGGTCGTCTCCGGCGGCGTGGGGGTCGCCCCCCACGCCCCGCACGGCACCCACCCCTCGCGCCCGTCGCGCATGAGCAGCCTCTCCTCGCAGCTCAGCGACGGGGGGCCCCTGAGCCCCTCCCCGCGGAGCAGCGTCTCGTCCTGGAGCGAGGAGCCGGCGCCCTCCAACCTCGACATCACCACGGGCCACATGATCCTGGTGCGTGCGCGCCGCCGCCGAGTGGACGTGCTCACCGCGTGGACTCGTGTGTGACGGGCGACGTTTCGGGCGGTGATCCTTCTTCATAGCACTTCAATCAGTGGACGTGGTGCGAAGAAGGGCCATTGCCCAAAACGTCGCCTGTTTGTTTTCCGGGTAAAGGCCACACGCAGTGTTATATTGAGGAATGTCTCGCGATGTGTTGTTATCTGTGCTTGTGTACCACTCTCAGCGTCACGGCGCATCGTGAGACGAGAGAATCCATTGAGAATTCTCACCTTCGCGTTCGAGAAGGGCCCGTGGAAGTGGACACCACAGGGCTACAGCCACCATCAATGTCAAATATCTGAACCGGTTCTGGGCTTCCCCAAGGTCGGCTCGGCCTTAAATGATTGCCTGCTGCTATTTGTAAACAGCGCTGGGGAGATACAGGTGGCCGGGTGTGGTGTCGGCCACACCACCCACTCATAGCTGGGCCCGTCCGGCCTTCACTAGGACCTCCAATCATCAGTCTTGTTCCTGCTCCACAGGGAATCTTTGTCCCTCTGTGTCTGCGTGTCTGTGCGCCCTCGCAGTCCTACATGGAGGACCACGTGCGGAACGGGGACCGCCTGGAGGCCGAGTGGGACGCGCTCTGCTGCTACCAGGCCGAGCCCAACGCCTGCACCATGGCGCAGAGGGCGGACAACACCGTCAAGAATCGCTACGGCAACATCCTCCCGTGTACGCCGCACACGCAGCAGACAAAGATCCCCCCTGTAGCCTTTTAACAGACTGTTGGGGCAAGTGCTGTTGGCGAACAGCTGCGAAGGGTGCCCAACACCACGCCGCTTCTTGTCTACCCAGTGCGGATGTGGACGCGCCTCACCGGGTACTGGACTCATGCCAGGCTGAGTTCATCTCGGAGATGCCCAGGACCGGCTCAACTTCCCGCCACTGTTATTGGTCGTGGGAATCGAACTCGTTCATAGTGCAGCGTGCGCTACCCTCCGCACGACCGCTCCACGAAGCCATACACGTGGTTGTGGAATCGGGTAGCGGCATGGAGTTGGTGGTGATTACTCGGCCACCACTCTCCCCCCCAGTAACGTCCAGCACGCAATCCACCGCTCACCCCGATCCACCACTCACCCTGATCCACCGCTCACCCCGATCCACCCCTCACCCCGATCCACCGCTCACCCCGATCCACCCCTCACCCCGATCCACCCCTCACCCCGATCCATCCCTCACCTGCGCTCTCCTTGCCCGGCTCTCGCCGTCACTCCGCCCGTGGCCCTCTCGAGCCGCGTGCCACGAACGACCGCGCGTCGCGCTGTCCCCAACACCGGACACGGTGCTGCTACTACCTCCATCATCACCATCATCACCACCACCACCATCACCACCATCATCACCATCATAATCACCACCACTGCCGTTACCACCACCACCCCAACTATCCACCACCACCTACTCTGCCATCGCCACCACCGCAGCAGTGTGAGGACACGGGCCAGGCGCGGCTCATTGACAGAAAGGCCCCAGCGTAGGTGCCGCGTGGCCCTTCCAAGTCGCCCCCCGTCGCCGTCGCCGTCGCCGTCTCCGTCACCGCCGCCGCTCCCGGGAGGCGTCGTCTTGTCGACACGGACCGCCGCGCGCCACAACATCGTCGCGGTTTGCGGGGAGCGGCAGGGCGCGAGAGGTTTGAGCCGCGCACGGCGTCTGCGCACTGCGTGCGTTTGTCGTTCACCGCTCCGTGCCTCTCTGCGCTGTGTGCAGACGACCACGCGCGCGTCGCGCTCAAGGCAGAAGCCAACGCGGCCAACTCGGACTACATCAACGCGAGCCCCATCGTGAGTCCGCCCCACCCCGCTCCCCGCACCGCTCCCCGCACCGCTCCATGCTCCCCGCACCGCTCCATGCACCCCGCACCACTCCCCGCACCGCTCCATGCACCCCGCACCGCTCCCCGCACCGTGGTCGCTCCCCCAGCCCGTAGCACCGGCGCCGTGAGCACGAGGGCGCCTGTCTATTCGAGTCGCGAGTTTGGCTGCTGCACGGCGCTGTCTGTCCCTGGGGGCCGTCGTCGTGGTAGTGGCGGTAGTGGCGGTAGTGGTGGTGATAGTGGTAGTGATGGTGGCAGTGGTGGTGGTGATAGTGATGGTGGTGGTGGTAGTGGTGGGGATAGTGGTATTGGTGGTGGTGGTGGTAGTAGTGGTTGGTAGTGGTGGTTGTGGTATTGGTGGTGGTATTGGTGGGGGTAGTAGTGTTGGTAGTGTTGGTGGTAGTGGTGGTGGTAGTAGTGGTGGTGGTCGTGGTGGTGGTAGTGGTGGTGGTAGTGGTGGCGGTGCTGAGCCCTGGTTGCTCGGTCTGCGCTATGCTGCGTTGTTTCTGCGCTCAGCTCGGTCACCAGTGACTGTCCGGCTCTAAGAATGAATATATCGGTTTGACTGTCATCCGACGAACATGACTCTCAAATTGCAGAGCGAGTGGGAAAGCGCTGCCCTCTACTGCATGTGACCTAGAGGTCAGCAATAGGCAACTCAGAGGTAGTTCTGGGATATCCACTTTTGTGGGTCGTTCTCTTAACACGAAGGGCTGCACAGTTCCGCGAGAGTTGGACGGACGTAGCTACGGTCTCCTGACGTGACGCCCGTAGCACCATTGGGATAACATCTTGATAAACAACGACAAATGTCAACATGGAAAACACACACGGCCACGTTGCGTTGCATCCGTGGTAAAACGTGACCAGCAAAATCCAGATTGAGTGTAACACGTGGAATCGTTCACGGCCAATGTTACGATGCATCATTGAATTTGGGGTCAGGTTGCGGAAACAAAAGGTGCGTCATAAACCCTCCCGTGGGAACCCAAGGACGACGTCACACCACCTATGTCAGGCCACAGCCTGGAGAACATCTTCACAATTATGCCAACTGCCTGATGATGCTACTGTAACTACCAGCGAAACGTCGAACTTCCCAATTGCTGTGTATCTTGTGGATTACACTCTACAACATTGCCATCGCTGCTGCTGAAGAAGCAGGAATAATACATTGGCACGTTTGTTCACGTGACATCTGTGTTCGTTGTCGGGTGGAGGAGGCTGTACGACACAAAACAGCAATTGTGAGTCGTAAACATAAATCAATATATAAATGCTCCTCTCGGAGGCGGCACTTTGAGAGATGATTGTGATCCCCCCTCCCTCCCTCCCGCCGGACGGTCCGCGCGGAATCGAACACAACGGCACGGTGGACACACGCGTGTGCTCGCGACAACGCGACAGCAGACGGTCGGTGTGGCGGCGGATCGTGTACATGTTCCAGCTCTTACATTCGTCCTGGCTCCGTGATGGTCACCACCACCACAACCGCCACCACCACCACCACCACAACCGCCACCACCACCACCACAACCGCCACCACCACCACCACCACAACCGCCACCACCACCACCACCACCATCACCACCACAACCGCCACCACTACCACCACCACAACCGCCACCACCATCACCACCACAACCGCCACCACCATCACCACCACAACCGCCACCACCATCACCACCACAACCGCCACCACCATCACCACCACAACCGCCACCACCATCACCACCACAACCGCCACCACCATCACCACCACAACCGCCACCACCATCACCACCACAACCGCCACCACCATCACCACCACAACCGCCACCACCATCACCACCACAACCGCCACCACCATCACCACCACAACCGCCACCACAACTGTCACGGCGGGTTCCGGATTAGCGAGCAATCAGGAGCATGGAATGCGTTCCGTGGTTTTTCCTTTGACTCCCCGGAGTGGAGACACGAGACGTCTCCGCTCCGGGGAGAGATGACATGATTTGTCGTCTCCCCGGGCAGCTAACGTCAGCCGGCGTTGGGAATGAATTGACGGCAATGTCGTCCGAAGCCGCGTTTCATAGATCTATGGGAATGCGGGGAAGGCTGCCTGACACGTGCCTTCTGGAAGTATCCTGGCTCGGCTTGGGGTGTGGGGAACACCGGGCCGTGCCGTGGCGTGTGTGTGTGTTGAAATTCTTTCTCACCGTACGTAGCCAACCGTGTTCATCGCAGGTGCGGGGGGAAGGAAAACAAACGAAACGCGAAAGGCAGTTCTAGAGAAGTGATTGATGCGGGTTGTCATCGCATGTTCGCGTTAAATTTTCGGGGTGCGACGATTCTTGAGCTCGCGTTACATTCATCTGAATCGTGTCTGTTGAGAATGGATGTTGGTTGACTCGTCGTCTTGAGTTGTCACGATACCCCTGCAGCCACTACAGTATGTCACAATAACTACTGTTCTGTACCGTCATCGGATAATCGCAAACCTGCAGCGTCACAACCAATCGTCCCATCGCTGGGGAGACGGAGTGGCTGGATGGTCATCGATTCAACCCGCCTGAAATACCATTCGCTTTTTTTATTTTGGGGAAGCATAGGGTATTTAAATGTCACACTTCTGCTCTTCACATGGTGATGACGATGATGATGTCTACATATGTGTGTGTGTGTGGCTCTCGCTGGTCGTTACATGTATATCTTCATATAGAGAATAGGGGAAGGACTCGAGTTACGACATTGAGTGTCGTCCAGAGGGGCGTGTGTGGGTCGCAGAGCCCAATGGGAAACAGCGAGGCGGGCGGTGGAGCCGTGCTTGCCCCGACTGGACACCTGTGAACACGAGCTGGAATGCCTCGTCAGATCACGCCCGCTATAAATACACAGCCTCACTCTGATTTAAGTGGACTTTGGATTAAACAGCTGGAGGTGAAATGGCCCCGAGGAAGGAACCGCGAAGTCGTCGAGGGGCTGCGAGCAAAGCGCCCCCAGCGGAGCCGCGTGGCGACAGCTTCCTCGTATGTGTGTGTCTACGTGTGAGTGTGTCTACGTGTGTGTCTACGTGTGTGTGTGCGTGTGTGTGTACGTGTGTGTGTCTACGTGTGTGTGTGTGTCTACGTGTGTGTGTCTACGTGTGTGTCTACGTGTGTGTGTCTACGTGAGTGTGTGTACGTGTGTGTGTGTCTACGTGTGTGTGTCTACGTGTGTGTGTGTCTACGTGTGTGTACGTGTGTGTCTACGTGTGTGTGTACGTGTGTACGTGTGTGTGTGTCTACGTGTGTGTGTCTACGTGTGTGTATACGTGTGTGTGTCTACGTGTGTGTGTGTACGTGTGTGTGTCTACGTGTGTGTGTACGTGTGTACGTGTGTGTGTGTCTACGTGTGTGTGTGTCTACGTGTGTGTCTACGTGTGTGTGTCTACGTGTGTGTCTACGTGTGTGTGTATCTACGTGAGTGTGTGTACGTGTGTGTCTACGTGTGTGTGTCTACGTACTAGTGGGGAGCGGTAGTGTAGCGGTTAGCGCTACGCTGTGCTATGAACCCGACGACAAGGGTTCTATTCCCGTTAAAGGCCAACACCAGTGACGATTATATGAACCGGTCCTGGGCCTCCCCTAGGTCGACTCAGCCTCAAATGAGTACCTGGTGCGGTGTGTAAACATCGCCAATGGGGAGACAAAGGCGGCCGGGCGTGGTGCTGGCCACCCACCCCCTCGTGTGCCACAGTGCCGCCTTCATAGGTGGCAGCACTCGCCCCAACAGTCTGGCGGGGCGAGAGGGGAGGGGGTCCTTTGTGTTGCATCGGCGCCGTATTAATCACTGGAGTAATCATTCCTGAAAATAGTTACAGGTGGCTCAGCGGAGCTGCCTTTATTACTAAAAAAAGAAAAATTACTTCTCTCAAACACGAACAAATTGCAACGGCACTTTGAAAGATGATTATAAATTTGAAGAAAAACAGTCACGTGCCTTGGCAAGGCAGACTAATGTTGGATTTATCTGTCTCAATGAGCATCTCTGATGGCTACCAAAAGCACCCTCTCCCCCGGAGTTGGTCCGCGTGCAACTTCGACGACGACTGCAGCGTGTAAGCGAAGTCGCTCGCTCCACTGCTGGCGAGATGCTCGCTCCACTGCTGGCGTGCTCTGTTGCCAGCGCCTCGACTGAGTGGGGGGCAGGCAACCCCCTCGCTCTCTCGCAGGCGACACACACACGGGAGTCTCTCCAACTAAAGCTGCTGCAGCTCCCCCACTCTCTCCCCTCTCTCTCTCTCTCGTCAGGGCCCATTCTGCTGCACCTCCCCCGCCACCACCACCGCCCACCACCACCACCACCACTTTCTCTCTTAGTATTCATCTCCCATTCTGCTGCTCGGCTTTGAGTCGTCTGATCTCGCCGTGCGCGCCGCTCTGAGTGGCTCCGCTCTCGACGCCTCGCTCACTCTGCGTCTCATCCCTCCCTCTCTCCCTCTCGCTCTCCCTCTCGCTCTCCCTCTCGCTCTCTCTCTCTCTCTCTCTGGCTCTTGTGCATCCATCGGTCTCTCTCTCTGCTCTTTATTTGCCTGTCTCTCGGCTCTATTCAATTTGTGATTATTTCCGTCATTATCTGTCTCTCTATTCATCCCTCTGCTCTTTATTTGCCCGTCTCTGGGCTCTATTGAGCCTGGGCCTATCTCGCATCTTCTGTGTCTTGCTGTTCATCTCTTGGCCTCTCAGCCCTGAATGATTTGTCTGTTTCTGGTCTCTATTCAAACTTAGATTATCTCTCTAATTCTCTGTCTTTATATTCACTTGTCTCCTTGCTCTGTCCCTCCATCTGTCTATTCGATTTTTGAATAAAGTTTGTCTATCTTGTCTATTCAATCTCAGATTCCGTCTCGCTCCTATTTTCAGTGTCTCCATTTATCTATGTTCTCTTTATCCCATTGCTTCTTTAGTCTATCGCTGTCTCTCTGTGCGTCTCCCTGTCTCTCTGTGC